CATCCCCCCTGGGGGGTGATTTCTTGCTTTCTGTCTCTCTGTCTCTGTCTGTCTGGCAAGTGCATGCACCCTATAGCAAAAACCTCTCAAAAAAAAAAAAGAAAGAAAAAAATATAACAAGATTGTAGAAATGAGGGATCAGCTAGTAAGAAACAAAGAACACTCTAAAGAATATGCAAATACAACTCAAAGAAACTGCACCCCTAGGGTTGAGATAAGAGTACTCAAGGGGCCAGCAGATGGCCTAGCAGTTACATCGCTGGACTCCCACAGGGCCGATCACAGTTCGAGTTCCAGACCTGGTCCTTGAAACTCAGGCCAGGCATATGTGCATGCATGTATGCCCAAGATCCCAGGAGGGTAATAGACAGCAGGGGTTGCGGGATGACCATCTCCCCTGGGGTATGATTTCTCACTTTCCCTCTCACTGTTTTTGTCTCCCACTCTGGTGAGCACACGCACCTTAAGGCAAACAACTCTAAAAAAAAGAGAGAGAGTGCTCAAGAAGTCACAAGTGTGGGACCAGCGGTTAACATAATGCCTATATCACTGGATTCCCATGTAGTCGACCGCGGTTTGAGTCCTGGACCCGGCAGCTTAAACTCACGCCAGGCCCTTGTGCGTGCGTGCCCAAGGAGAATGGAGGAGAAGAGATTGTGGCGTGGCCATCCCCCCCTGGGGGTTGATTTCACGCTCTCTCTCTCTCTCTCTGTCTTTTTGGCAAGCGCACACGCCCTATAGCAAAAAACCTCTCCCAAAAAAGAAAAAAAAAAAAAAAAAGAGAAGTCAAAGTGTGACTCACTGAATGGCAGACAGGTCATTGTTGTGTTGTACTGGTGGAATTTGCTGGAAACGCATCCTTCAGAACTTGGTAAAAATATGTCCTCTGGAAAGCCCTGTAAACCTGCCCCTTAGAACTTTGCCCGAAATCCACACTTTCAGGTACAGAGGTAAGCTGCGCTCTGTGACAGCCTGCCCACAGAGCAGATGGGAACCTCCTACAATCTCCAGCACCTCTGACTGACAAAAGCTTAAATTGTGCCACTGGCAGAGGGAAAAGGATTTAAAGGGTCAACATCCATTTTCACAGAGCCAGCAAAAGAGGCTCATCCTAGTCAGCACAGGACACCCATCCCAGTAGTCCGCTTCTTCATGCTTCCTGCCAGACACGTTTACACTCCCGAACAACAGCAAAACAACGCTGCATTCCTACCTAACAAGTTACACCTTCTCCCAAATGAGGAGCCGCACGGTCCCAAGAGTCATTGTAGGGGCCGGCAGGTGGCATGGTGGATAAGTGTGTTGGACTCCCACATGGCTGACTGTGGTTCAAGTCCTGGACCTGGCAGCTTGCTTTCTCACTTTCTCTCTCTCTCTCTTACAATCTTACTCTGTCCCTCTCTGGTCAAATTAAAATAAGTAAATAAAAAGTTAAATAATTCATTTTTTTCTCTTTTTAAGGAGCCATATATTAAAAAAAAAAAAGTCATTGTATAACTGACACAGTGAAGGAATGGACCAAAATTTCAGGCACTCTGCTGGGATCTTTATGTTTTATCATATTCAATTCTTAGAATCTTGTGAGAGAAGTGCTGTTAAAATATAAGTAAGACATGGTGCTACTCTCTGGGAGCTCTGAGAGAGGAAGGCATGTAGACAAGGATTTCTAATAGCAGGCAAAGTGCATGAACAAAGGGAGGTGAAGGTGACTTGCTGTGGGATCCTAGAGGAGCGACTCATTCTTACTGGGGAGCTGTGAGGAAAAGTGTCTCTGTAAAGGTATTATTATTTCATTTTTTAAAGAGAGATTTTTGTTGTAGGGCTTGTGCGTTCACTGGAGAGACAGAGAGATAGAAAGCGAGAAATCACCCCCCCACACACACACACACACAAGGGGAATGGTCGTATCACAATCCCTTTCTTCCATTCTCCTTTTGGGATCTTGGGCACGCACACATATGCACCTGGCATGAGTTTTAAGCCCCTGGCCCAGGATTCCAATCGCGGTCAACTATGTGGGAGTCCAGCAACATAACCGTTATGCCATCTGCTGGTCCTGGTATTATTATTATTTTCTTTATTTTTATTTTACTTTTTTTTTTTTTTGCCAGAGGCACATGCACTTGTGGGGTGAGGGGAGAGAAAGTGAGGACCTGTGTTCAGGCTGAAATCCCTTCTCCTCTATTTTTTTTTTTTTTGAATCTTGGGCATGCGTGCCCTCATGGCCTGTGTGTTTTTCAAGCTATCAGGTCTGGGACTTGAACTGTCCAGTTGACCATGTGGGTTCCAGCTGGTTAAACACTCTTGCCACTGGCTGACCCAGTGGGGATGTTGTTAAAACAGATGCTGTAGTGGAACAGGCTTTAACAGATATGATGAATTTCCAGATGCAATTGAGCTGGAGGTAGAACAACATAGAGGATACCAGCCGGTGCTGTAGGGGCTGAGCCAAGCGTTCAGATCATAACTCTGTCACTAACTTTGAGCAAGTTTAAACTCTCCAAGCCTCAATTTTTGCATCTTTAAAATGAGACACTAATGCCGACTTCTCATGCATTTGTAGACTAGCTGAAGTCCGGCATGTTAAGAGGCTCGTGGTGAGCACAGGATAAATGTAGGTGATTACTTAATGGATGAATGCAGCGCGTAGCTGTTTGGAAAATGGCAGTTAGAGCAGTGTAACTAAAGGGCAGTTCGGTACAAAATGGTTAGTGGGCATTGCTAGGGGCGCATTTTAAAAGGTCGATTGTTTTAGGATTTGTTCCCAAAGTCAGCATTGGATACGAGTTTGCAATCTGGATTCGGAAAACATTAGAAAGTCCCGTCTCAATTCTCTTATATTACGGACTTCTAAAGTGATGTGCTCTGTGAAGAGAATTAGGGAAAGGACTGAATTACACTGTTGGGTTCCAGTTTGTGTGTGTGTGCACATGCATGTACATATATATATATATATAATATATGTGCATATATGTATTATATATATATAAATGTCCCCCGAAGGTGCGCACGCACAAATACGTACAAAATGGGGGCGGTAAGGCGCCAAACTTAATGTTGCTCTCCCCCAACCCCCAGTCGCTCGAGTGCGCCAGTCAGTACTGCGCAGGCGCAGAAACCTCTTACGGTGCGCGTTTTGCGCCTCTTTGGTTTGGCGCCTCAGTCTGCTGCAGACGCCCCGTGCGCACAGTCGCAACTGGGTTGCAGTGCAGACACCGAGCCTCGGACGCTCCGAGCCTGGCACCCCGCCAACTCACGATGTCTGAGGACGAGGGTAAGGAGCCCTTTCCCAACCACCCCACGATATTCTGCTTCAGGCTCGGTCTCGGTTCCGACCGCGCCCACTTAGACGGCGCACAGACGACCGCTGGATTGGCTGGCCTCCGGCCAGGGTGTGTCCAGTGCAGGCCTCCAGGGCTGACCAGCAACCACGGATTGGTCAGAGGGCCGTTCCCGACCGGTTGGCGTGCACTTGGGGACTCAGGTGCCACGGTCCGGTATCGGCGTCTCAAGGGCTAAGGTGTCCCTGGGGCTCGAGGTGACCGTGGGGCTCGTGGTTTCTTAGGGGCTTGGAGTAATCCTGGGCTCAGGGTGTCCCTGGGGCTTGCGGCGTCTTAGGGGCTTGGAGGAATCATGGGTTCGGGACGTCGCCGAGGTTCGCGGTGTTTTAGGGGCTTGAGGTGATCTTGTGTTTGAAGCGCCGTCCTGGGGCTCGTGGCGTCTTCCCCGGAGCTCACTGTGTTTTAGGGGCTTGGAGCGACCCAGGTCTCAGTGCATTCCTGAGGTTCGGGGCGCTTCGTCTCTGAGGTGATTCTGGACTCAGGGCGCAATGTGGTTTTGAGGTGATTTGGGGTTCTGGGCGTCCCTAGGGCACTCTGGGTATTTTAGTAGCTTAGGAGCGTGGGGTGTCCCTGGGGGCTCAGGGCACCCCGTAGACTTGAGATAATTTGGACCTGGAGCGTCTCCAGGACTCTTACAGCGTTTTAGGGGTAAAATTGGTTTTGGGGTGTCTGAGGTTTGAGGTGACTCTGCTTGGGGCCCCAAGTGAGCTCCACATGATTTGGTGCTTGAGGCGTCCTTAGGGCTCGAGCATTTCAGCTCGGGGTGATCCTGCGCTCGCGGCGTCCCGGGAGCACGAGGCGTCCCCAAGCGCTCGAAGCGCAGTTAGAGCTTGCGCCAGGGCGGGGCCTGGTTATCCGCACGAGGATCTTTCTAGAGCCTCAGATGGTGGTATAGCAGTCTCCACAGTCGCCGGGCTGGGGAACTGGGCCACCGCGAGCTGTTTCAGTGCGCCCTCTGCAGGGCGGTGTGGCGGGCTCTTGGCACTTAAGTCTGTCCGGACG